CAATCTTCGTAATACAATCACATTTAGTAAATAATCACGACACATTGTTACTGATCGTACTAGCTATATATATATTACTGTTCTAAATAGCATAATATATTACTAAGGCAATCTTCGTAATACAATCACATTTAGTAAATAATCACGACACATTGTTACTGATCGTACTAGCTATACAGCCTTCTATTACTGTTCTAAATAGCATAATATGCTATTAAGGTAAGCTTCATAACACAACCACATTTAGTAAATAATCACTATACGTTATTACTAATATGAATATTAACATACGCACTGAATGATTTCAGAACTTTAGACGGCCACTGACAAATGTTACTTGATATTTTCAGAAGCTATTTTATTAAAGATACCAATCAAAACTTATAGCAAATGTTGAAACCTAGTTATGCCTACTTCGGCTTGGTGGTTTGAACGGTTAATTAGTTCGCACACTGGAAGAACGTTTTATATCTAAACTCAGAAAATGGTTTCCGTTTCTTTTAGGATAAGACGTGGATAGAACATAACCTGGTGACGTTGGTGGAGTTCGCTATTGCTATGATGAACCTTCTCGATCAGATTAACAGAGACTCTTTCCAGACGTTCCGGTTACGTGTGGGTAAGTAGACCGCTATAAAAATAAAAACCGAACTTTCCTGGTAGAAGGGTTCATTATCAATTGTAATTTTCTTAACTTTTTTTTCAACTCACCAAACAACTTTAACTAGGCTGAGGTCACTTTTATCAAGTTACTTATCGAAATTAATTTCTGTAATAACCAGCGAAAATAAATTTGTAAAGTATTATATATTTGATTCGCAGAAAAATGAATTAGAAGCTTCCATTAGCTGATTACCTTATAAAATAATTTAATATAGCGCAATAATAATTAGCATAATGTGCATCCTTATTCAAACTTAATATAGTGTTCTGTGTTTTCACTAGCTGGTTACCGTATATGATGTACTAATATAGTGCTTTGTTTTCCTACTGGCTGGTTACCTTATATAATGTACTAATATAGTGCTTTGTTTTCCTACTGGCTGGTTACCTTATATAATGTACTAATATAGTGCTTTGTTTTTCTACTGGCTGGTTACCTTATATAATATACTAATATAGTGCTTTGTTTTTCTACCGGCTGGTTACCTTATATAATATACTAATATAGTGCTTTGTTTTTCTACTGGCTGGTTACCTTATATAATGTACTAATATAGTGCTTTGTTTTCCTACTGGCTGGTTACCTTATATAATGTACTAATATAGTGCTTTGTTTTTCTACTGGCTGGTTACCAAAAGTTTTTATATAATTGTTTTTATATCAGGAATAAACCATGGACCAGTTATAGCTGGTGTAGTGGGTGCCCAGAAGCCGCAGTACGACATCTGGGGAAACACAGTCAACGTAGCCAGTAGGATGGACAGTTGTGGTGTCAATGGTCGGATCCAGGTAGGTGATAACGTCTCTTGTGTATGTCCGTGTAGGTGACGTCTATCATATGAATATGGTTAGCGGTGTACAGGTGGTTCATCTGCACATTTTTTAAAAGTATCCAGGGAGGTTATACCACATGTGTATTATCAATTTGGAATCAACTGCCATTGTTAAATGTGATAGAACACTATTTTTTGATAAACAAACGCTATAGAACACCGTAGCCGAGATTAGGTGTTTAAAATCAAGTCTTACGAATCCAATTATGACGAGTCCTTTAATTATTGATAAATTAATCCATAGAATCTTAAACTGAAACCTATACTTAGTGGTAAACTAATCCACAGAACCCTAAACCCAGACCTTTACTTATCAATTAAGTAGATGTGCAAGTTGACTAATTTTTTGAGCGAAATATTTCTTACCCAGCTCTGTCCTTAGTGAAAGCCCTACAGATACGTGAAAAACTACAAATAGAAGTGAACACTCAGTCCATAATGGGCTTTCTTTTTGAAGTTCTTGTAAAGCACTTTAAATGTCTTTCCTTAAACGTTTTTCAGGTTATTCTAATGAGACTCTTGAAAATGTGGAGAGCACGCACAAATTTGCTAAAACTTAGCAAAATTTCTACGAGGATTTTCAATAGCTTTCAATCTTGACGAAAATTGTTATAAAACGGGGGAAATGGATCGGAAGTGAGGAGGTGTAGCAATCGAGTCGAAAAACTTGGCAGAAATGGCGAAACAGTTGCGTCACTTCTTGTTCAAAGCATTCAATTTCACAATAGAGATGTGGTCAAGATTTCTACTGTCTGGATTTGGTACATATAATGCAATAAAATTAATAATAACCTTGAATTTTGCTTCTACATAAAGAAGTAATGAAATATCCTAAAAATATTTTAATGACGAAATATTTCTCTAATTCAGGCTTTATTATTATGGGAAACCAATCAAAATGCTGAAAATTTTACTTACAATCTTTGACTTGTGGAATTTTATTGTGATGTGAGTTTTGCTCAAACTCAACTTTTTACAATAGCTACTGCAGTAAATATAGGGTGAAGATGATCACTTGCCGATATCCACAAATTGAAGATGACAGTTAGTACATATTGAGTGCAGATGATCACTTGCCATGTACTAACTGATATTTTTACTCTGGCCTTAGGCCACCATTTTCTCTTAAATTTACTTTATGCTTGTTATCAGACACATTACTAACCACGAGTTAATTGTCTATCATTAATTATTAATTACTATCATTAACTGTTCTGAAACTTTGGTGTAGAGTAGTGTTTTTTTACAGAGATTTGATACTTCTATTTGCATTCTCTCAATGGCATCTTTGCTTAGTAATGAACCAAAATGTCACCCTCACAATTAAAGTGAAATATGTTTGTATGCACATGCGGCTGCTTAACTGATCTTATAAGCTTTATTCTAATATCTACTTTTCCCAGCTCTAAATGAGAGTATATCAATTATACATTTTAATACAATTGTAACATATTTAAAATACGATGAACATTTCTTGTAGACTAAAGGTTATCATAATCAAATCATTCAATACTCTATTAAGTTTATAGTAGCAAAACAAATTACTCAAACATACAAAATACAAAGTAACCAAGTACCAGATTTAAGATAAGAATACGTCACACAAGTATAATTTACAAAACTAGCATAAGTACAAAATAAAAGAATCTTAACACTTCTCGCTTCTAAATGCATAGTTAATTAATAACACCATATCTTAGAATTCTCTAATGCATAAACTGTTGGCATGTGGCTTCTGGAGCCACTCAAATAGTCCAGTAATATTTGATGGGCTACAGTGCATCTCTTCCAGACATGGTAGAGGCAGTTGACTCATGATAGGTCCATTTATCTGACAGCTGGGTAGCCCAAGACCTCAATGTTGATACATGGGACACTGGTCATTCTCCCAATTAGTTCTGTTTTCTCTTCCTCCTTTATGTTTGATTTCATATATATTATTTTCAATTTTTCACATAGATGAGAAACATTTTGTACTTATATTCACTGTCCTCCAGCTTTAATTGATGGAGGTACCTGCTGGTCCACTCGTTTTCTTGCTTATCTTCCTCGAGGAGAAATTCTTTACTGAATTTGGTCAGATACACATATTCCCATAAAGTGTAATAGGATTTCACAGCCAGTTATTTAATCACATAATCATTGATGAAGTGGAAACCCTCTATATCAGTGATGGTGCTCGTCTCTGGCAGTAATTTGTAATGTATGTACAACATTAGTTCAGATACCATTCTAACATTTAACACTTTGTTTGATAAAGGGGGACTCATAAAGCAATGTCTCCAGCTTGGATTCTCCTACTCTCCCTTGACCATCACTTTTCTTCTAACTATAAATGAGATCTCATGCTTTTGCCTTTTGCCTAACATTTTCTTATTGTATTCTATGTTGTTTACTGCCATTATCATTCGCTCCTTCTTTACTAGTCCTTTTTTCTCTATATTACCTTGTTATCAATTCTATCTGGACCTCACAAACATTTTCCCTAACAATTTTCAATATAGAATAACTTAAGGATTAACTATCCTCATCAACTGGACTGATTTACTTTACATTTTGTCTTCTATGCGACTTCAATTACCAAATGCTTTTTAATTTGGTCTCTACAAATCAATTAATTCTTCTCTCAGTTTTTTCTCAGTAGTTGAGGGCTACTAGCTTGTCGCATGATCAATATAAAAGTATGTTTACTAATATCATTTCCAAGCATAGCAATATCGATGTTGAATTAATCAACTTCCAATTACTAACCACTTTCTTTCACACTTTTCTATAAAACATTTCACATCTTGAGTGCATTCTGTAATAGTTAATCCTGATCTATCTGAGGGTAAATATTGAATATCTTTTAGTAAAGCCTTAAGTCCTGATATTTATACATTGGACCATAATTCTTTGAATAATTTGTTTAATTCATGTCACATTAATTCTTTTGTAGTTCGTACATTTATATCTAATCCTAAACTGTATACATAGTCTTACTTTTAAGGCTTGAAGGCAAACTTACATCTCAGGCCTTGTCCAGATGCAGAAAAATTCCTCATCAACTTTAAATAACTACCACTCTTTAATTTTTTATAATTCTTACTTGATAATCGAAATCGTGTACTTGTCGATTACGGTATATTATAGACAAGGTTAGTTCACCTGTAATGCTAAATATCCAAGAATCAGGTGTATGAATTCAGTGAAAATATACGACTGTAATATAATTATTCTCTTTTCACATATTTTATCCTGAATTCCTCCAAATATTTTGTAGTTACATAATAATAATACTGGTATTGAATATATTCCTGAATTCAGATCGCATACTCTGACTGGCTCTTCAATATATTTCAAAATATCGTTTTCAGTCGTCTCCAAGTGTGTTGACCACTAGAAATAGCAATAGAGAATTTTTCAGTCTTATTGTCATTGCAAAGGAATTATTTAACACTACTCGCAATGAAACTATTTTTATAATTAAAATACTATATGTATTGTTTTGAAGCGTATATGTATAAAACGTTTTAGGGTGTTTTCCCATCTGCTCATGTATAACACATGTAAATTTGATCAATATGTGTATTAATCACAAACTATAAGTGGGGTGGAAGTATCCTCTCATTTTCATCAGAGACTCTTTCTAATTTATAAGGTAAGAATTATCAACTCAGTTTTCTTTCAACTGCTACACTGAATGCTTGGACTAACCTGGCTTAGTCTGTTCTACAAATGTTAATTCTTAAAAATAATTCTGAATTCTTACATGAAGGATTAACATTTCAGCTCCTGCTCTATGAATCTCGTTCTGTTCTATTCTGACACGTGTTAATTCATTAATTATATTCAATAATGCGTTTGATACTTGTTTAATCTTCTGATTATGTACTTCTAATGTGTGTTTCAATGAACCCATTATGGTATCTTGTTTGCCTAATAAATGTATCATCTCATTTGATAATCGTCTCTGATCATCTACCTTTTTTGATTGGCTTTTTTAAATCACCGGTAGTTGTGTTACTAAATAAGAATTTTAAATTACTTTCTCCAGTGTTAATTATTCATCTCATTTCCCTACTTCTATCTAAAATAGGATTTAATTCCATTAAAGGCCACCTACTTCTTTATAGTATTTTCTAGTGAATTGTTTGTAGCTTTCTATTAGTTCTGTTTGTGTTATTTCTAATACTTTCATTATGGAAATTTAACTACTAGAAAAAGTGATTTTATCTTCATCCTTAAAATTTATTTTTGTTTTTTTTACAGTTAAGAGTTTTCTCAAAAGAATAAAGTTCTTCTCTTAGTCTTCTTAATAACTGAGCATACTTACAGAATGACATATCTTCAACAATTATACATTTATCACTCTATAAAATAATATTTCTTTTCAATACATACTATTTCTGCTTTGTTTTCCACTGGAACTATACTTACATCCTGTTCTGCTACAACAAATGCTATCAATACCACAGGGATGCTTGTTCTCCTAGTAAAGTTGTAAATATACATACTATTAGTTTATATTAATTAATTATATCATTTACTAATTACAGTTACTACACTCTATTAAATTGTTATGATGTGGTAGCCAATCCAACGAATAAAAAATGGTAAAAGAGTAGTTCAAGAGTTGACGGTTGGTGATGATGACTAACTAGCTGCCTTTTCTTTTGTGTTTCACTGCTAAATTAGGAAGGTCGAGCATAGATAGTCCTCGTGTAGCTTTGTGCAAAATTCAAAACAAACCAAAACATATCCTATTAAGTAATTTGACATATCATTAAGTGCTGTGCATACATCTTCAATTATCATATTATTTTTGCTCGTATCTTTTGAATTGATATTTTGTTATGGTGTGGCTGATAACATGTGGATCAACTATGGTCTGCCATGGCCTTCTACAAGATGGAGTATAGATCCAGAGCTGTTTATATATTGGTTATCACGACCTCAAGTTGTAGTCATGAGTTTATATGGTTGGTGTTGGCTGTGTTACATCTTTACTAGTGTCTGCCATTACTGACTTTGTACTTCTGTAATACTGGGTTTCGTTCCGTTATCTCCCAATACTATACAGTTTAAGATGTTTAGTGTATCGTTACGTATTGTTTCAAGCTTTGAGTAAATATTACAAGTATTTTTACTAAAAAATTGTCCTTGAATATATGGAGTCAGAGTGTTGACTGCTCCGAGTGCAAAGTGATGTTCATGTTAAGATTAAAAATACTTTTATTCATCTGAAAATTTGCATAATTATTATTTGCATAATTTCTAAAACCTCCTAAATAAATATCAAACGTTTCTTTCAGAAAAAAAAACTTTATCTGTTATTTTCTCTACCCTAGTACTGTTATATCCTTTTAGTATCAACCATGAACTTCCCCTGAAAGTTTCCTTTTCACATCTATTTCTTATGTTTAATTTCATGTTAGCAGCTGAAGTAGAAACCTGGCAATCATAAAGCAATGAATCACCACCCTGCCATTAAACTGTTTACGAAACACTGTAATACGACACACCGTCGGTAGCAAATAAGCTCGTGCAATGCAATTATCGGAACTTTTTTCACAGTTTATTTGAACACAGTGGGAGATGATTTATTGGCTTGTTTGTAATACAGTGGTTGCAACTAGAATAACCTAACGTAATAAACGTGCAAGAATACGTTTATGATATGGTTCTGTACAGAGTCCGCGATGATCCAGTAAAATTGGTAGGTATTTGAATGTTAATTATCCTCCTGGGGTGGTCAGAATTTAGCAACGGTATAGGTGTACAAACTATGTAAGTGCTTATAAATATGTTACTATTTACTCATAAATGCTTAATGTTTAATTATTTATCTTAAAACATAACCCAATAAATAAAAAAAATGTGTATAAAAACACATTTGTATATTTCTAATACTTACGATGTTACAGAATTTATTTGTATTTGTGTGTCATACTTGCTCAACGGTAGGGGAAGACAGATTAGTTTTTGTAGGTTTCAAATATAAAATACTGTACTGGTACACATAAAACCATTCTTATTTATCTGATTTTTTAACTAAGCAATACTTGAGTTTATAAAAATATAATTTCTGTTCAGAACAATGATTTACTCAACAGACTTCAGAACTACCAGTAAAATACAGTCTGTTCAGAGCAGTGACTTACTCAACAGACTTCAGAACTACCAGTAAAATACAGTCTGTTCAGAACAATGACTTACTCAACATACTTTAGAACTACCAGTAAAATACAGTCTGTTCAGAGCAGTGACTTACTCAACAGACTTCAGAACTACCAGTAAAATACAGTCTGTTCAGAGCAGTGACTTACTCAACAGACTTCAGAACTACCAGTAAAATACAGGTGTCCTTTTCAAGCCAATTCCAAACAACTGCAACATTTAAGTAGCTTGAAATGTGATCTTTCTGTTGGGTATAAACATGCATTTCAAAGAAGTAGGCGTGAGTAGAGAAGAGGTTTCATAAGAATGGAGTAGTGGGCGGGGGCTACCCTCATAGGTGGGGGGTTCTTCTTTTATATTCTAGCTTGTAAATGTCTGAAGTTTGAGTTTCTAATTCGTTAACCACTATAGACATTGTATTGTAGATATAATAAAATACAAACTGAGCAATAAGACATGTCATATTACACGCAAATAAACATTTAGCATATTGGCATTTTTGTAATATTTTCTTTCAAATTGAGAAATTAAAATATATATAAAACGTTAAAATTTGAATTATAAGCTACGTTGTGATGCCAATTGATAAAAAAGTTGTTTAATTAAATTTTTGAAAATGGCTCTCTAAAACGTTGTGACGTGCGCCCTTTGACCTGTACTTTGAGAGAAAGTTCACTAGTACCTGTACCCTGTTCTACAGTTTGACTTGCATTCACTGTAATGACTTTGGTGTCAATAACCACATCAACTTTGCTAAATGAAAGATCTACAATTTCATCATCTATGAGTCAATATGAAATTTTATCTGATAGTTAAGTTTAACTTTTTTATCTCTCTCCTCCTCTTACAGATTTGATGATTTAACTATATGCCATAACTTGTTATAATCATATGGCTGAGTTTCTTTCATATTTGTATTATGGATTTTTACGATATGGTTCTTGTATCTTAATAATTACTGGACTTGTTTGTTTTACTTTTCTAAAGAGACCTTTCCATAACTTCATTAATTTTTCTTTTACTCTGGCTTAATTTTAGATTTATCTTCCACAAGTTATCAAATACATGTCTCAATCTCTCTGGACATTCCTTGAAACTTGCGGTAAAAACTATGGCATCATCTAAGTAAAGAAACATTCAATGTCTTATAGTCCTAACAATACTATAAATCTATGAAATGTTGAAGAGTCATTACATAAAAGATGATATTATCAGTGTAGTTTTTACTTTATCTTCTTCTTCGAACTTGCATTGCCAATAGCTGTCTAACATCACTTAGATATTAAGTAATGGATCCTTGAAAGTTACTGAATTTATCTTTAAAGTCAATGCAGAGCCTTAAGTACCATATTTTTTTGGTAGCTAATACAACTGAAACTGCATAAAGACTACCTCAGTCCTCTATATAACTCCTTACACAAGCATGCAGGCTTTTAACTCTACCCTGTGTTTTTAAGTTACTCTGTAGGTCTCTATGCCGTAGAAATACTACTGTTTAACACTATTTTATGTTTTGCCTTGTTCACACAACAATTAGGATCACCATTTCCTAAAAATATATCTCTATATTCCTCTTGTGAATGCACTAGTCCTTAGGTATGTTTAATTTCTATATCTCCCAATGTTTAATCTAAACCTATTGTACTTTGTGCACACTTTTTATTATGTTTCTGTAATACAACTACTTTCCCTATACTGTTACATTTATTTACTTACTTCTACATGCTTAGGTAATATTACTTTATTCTTATTTATTTTGGAACCTTTATAGTCTCTTAGACTCTGTACTAACACGTGTAATAATGTATACATCTGAAGCTTCTACTTCTGTTGGTTCAGCTAATATTTATTAATTTTGCTTAAAGTCTTATACTTTAGCCTCAGTAACAACTTTATTTCTCTCAGGTATCTCTATAATTCTAATTAATCTTTCAGGCATACATTCGAACAAACCTCTCTTCTTGGGGTGCTCTGTTTCTTAATCTAGGTGTAGAGTCATCTGAACGTGTATGTATACTTATGCTTAGAGCTCTCTACTATTATTTTGCCTCTAAACACTCTACTATTATTTGTTGTTTTAGATCTGAATAGTGATTTTGCATTCCGTTTAACACTTACTTATACAACTACTATTTAGTGTGTTTCTTCTTACTTCCACTAGCTTTATCTCTCTTTTAACACTAAGATCTATTAACTATGTCATGTATTGTTACGAAGAGCATTAGTGTTGTTGCATTTCGACCTCTTATTCCTAGCCTTACTACTTTGTTTACTGCATATCTTTAGCATCTGACTACATGAGTGAGTCAACAAGAAGTTATCATAAGTTAGGACCTCCATTTCTATGCATAGCTTACTCTGGCAATGGATATTTCATTGTCACAATTTCTTTTAAAATCTTGCACTAATACACCATCTGTTTATAAGTCTATCTGCTTACAAATATAAAACGAATGCTTAAGTTTTAAATCTTTAGCTTCTACTTTATTACAATATTTTACTAAAATTTTAACTGGATTTCCTGTTAAAAGAGATTAAGATACTCTTCAAAATTTCTTTGTATGCTTGGAATTTTCTTTACCAAACATAAATTTAATTTAGCGGGAAGGCAGCCACCCACCTTCAACTTTTGCGCTACTCTTTTACCAACGAATAATGGGATTGACCGTCACATAATAACGCTCCCACGGCTGAAAGAGCGAGCATGTTTGGTGGGACGGGGACATACAATCACAGGACATGTGACATATAGTCTATGGTTAAAGCATTCTATTTGTGTCTGTTTTTTCCTAAAACAATATCTTGTAATCTGTCCTTGCAAACAAAATTTAAAACATTTAACATTTCTGTTAAATTCTGATATATTGCTCTCGTGCTTGGTATGTTGTTTGTCTTATTTATTTATATAGTTAATCTGGAAATGCAGGGCTCACACACTTGTTTTTCTCTAAGTTCTTTTTTCTTGTAGCCACTCTATTAAATCTAGCAGTGTTGCTCTTTAGATTAATGACTAAATATTTCCTATAATTTAATTTCAATGTATCTTGTATCATCAACTCATTTGGGTTTATGTTAACTAATCTTAACCTATCTACCTACAATTTATGTCCAAATATTCTAACAGCTTTGCCTCTTCCCTGTGTTAGCATGCTTGTTTGTTTAATTATTGTGTTAGGTGTGTCACCTCTTCTGTATTCAGTTAGTAGCAGGTTAACGTTTAGGATTATTCTTAATTCATTGTATACCCTAATATATATCTTAGCCTTTTCTAATATTTTCAACCTGTCAAGTCTGCTTTATAAAATTTGCTCATCCCCAGAAGCATATGGGAACAGGTGGAGCTGGTTGTTGCAACCTCTGAGCCTGTGTTAACTACTACTTATGTTCTTGCTTGTTCCCAATCTTCTGCCTTAATTTCCACTATAACTGTAGAAATATCTAATTTGTTACTTTTGTATTTTATTTCCACAATTACTATCTTATCTTAAACAATCTTCCTTTTTCTTCACAACCTGTCAATGGCTAATCTAAAATTCTGGAACCAATATGCTACATTACAATTAGTATTTGTTTATAAATTCTAAGAATACAGTCAGTAGCATTTACACACAGATCGCCAGTTCTAGAAAATGTGTGAGAAAAAGAAGGAATTAAGACGTTATGTATTAAGAATACATATAATATTTATCAGTTATTTGCTCAGTCACAATGCACCAGGTATTTTAAGCAATAATATTTCCATAGAAAAACAAATAACCTTCCAAACTCATTACTTAACAAAATTACTTAATATATAGCTAATATAAAAGATCCCTTACACGCAAGTTTCCATGTCTGTGGTGTAGAATTCGCTAGAAACTTCTCGTCACTGTCTTAGTCTTTTCTTGATGCTGAGTGATGAATGCTAAAATCTACCCAGCTTTTGGACAGAAATTGGTAGAGGTTATCTTGCGTAGTGGTATACAGCACTGGCTATCATTCATTTAGTAACCCAACTTGTGGTCACAGGTGTTATACAAGAGCCCTTTTTCTCCTGATTCCAGCAGCTTAGGGCTACTAAGGTCTGCAGTTCATGAATAGCCTTGAACATGAATGTTCATTTGCTACATGCTTATTGACGTGTTTACCCTGACCTCAGGTTACCATTTGTCTCATAAACTTACTCTAGGTTTGTTATCAGTCACATTACTAACCACTAGTTAATGACCTGTGGTTACTTTTTTAAAAGTTGGAGGTAAAGATTTCTGAGAGATTTGGTGCTTCTACAGGAAGTCATGCCTTAGAATATACATCTTTACTTAGTTATGCGCCTCTGCAATTAAAGTGAAATATATATTTATACACTCACGTGGTTTTTTTAACTGATCTTATAACCTTCTTCCTTATATCTACTATTTCCTAGCTTCACATGTGTGTGTGATGAGGGTTTTTCATAAAACTGCACTGAAATATTCTCACTATATACTTTTAGTCTCACTCCAAATAATATTATATTCTCTATATATACATATTATGAACTACTGACTTTCATTTCAGTACGTGTACTTGTTTAGCTGGTGTGTTTAGTAATTGATAGACAAATTCTATAGAATCCTTAATGTGATATGTTTAAATTTAGGTTATTGAATCACTAGTCTGTTATGTTTAGTAACTGGTAAAAAAAATGTCATAGAACCCTCAGCCTGATGCATTTATTAAGAAGTAAACAAATGTCATAGAACCGCTAGTCTTATACGTTTAATTATTGATAAATAAATCCTATAGGACTCCTAAGTCGAGATCATTGCTGCAAAAAAAAAAAAAAAAAAGATAAATAAATACTTGAAAATGTTTTTCGTTGTACAAAACTTGAAACTAGCTTTGATATACGGGAAGATCTGTTAGCTGAGTTCCTGCACGGATCTTAAAATATAACGCTCATAAATGGAAACATCGGCTCATATAGATACGTAGATCTTGAAAGTCGAGTTGCTCAAAACTTGAAAAAAAATGTGAAAAAAAAGAGAGAAATAATTTTTGATAAAATATTTAGGTTTGGTTTAAGAAACTCGTGAAAAATGATAATTTATGGTGAAGATGTGCTAGTGTAAGGTGGTTAAAAAATCTGAAGATTGTCTGTTTTCATACGAAAGAAGAACTTTCCTCCATCAAGTGGAAATCTAAGATGTGAATATATGTTCAGACAAACAGTTGTTGCATAAATACCATGATCTCGACGTTATTTTAAAAAAAGCTAAAAATATAATATTTCTAAAGTTTTATACTTTTATTCTCTTCTTTTAAACTCTTTCTTAGCGCCCAATGTTCAAAGTTAGATTTCTTTCTTTTATTTATAAGGTAACAGAAGAGACAGCGAATATTCTACTAGAGGCTGGCTACTTGTGTGAATGTAGAGGTTCAGTCTATGTAAAAGGGAAAGGTCACTTAACAACGTACTTCGTGAAAACACACTTGGACAAGTGCAGTGGAGATGTTTTAACTCGACTATGACAGCAGAGTAAAGAACTCTATCACGCAAATATATCTGCTCTCTATCATTCATTTTACATAAAGATATCGCATTGGGATTTTGTTTTGTCCTTGAAGATTAAGATATTTTTTAAGAGAAAGTATTCTGTTATTGAATATTTGATGAATAAAAGTTTCTGATATTTTGGCAATTCAGCGTATTGTGTTGTCTGCAGTGTGGAGTCTTTCCTTTTAAAACACATGTATGTATAGTAAACCTCTAATATTCACCAGTTCACACAGTAAACCTCTAATATCCACCAACTCACACCGAGTTAAACTTTTAACACCCACCATTTCACACAGAGTAAACTCCTGATGTCCACCAGTTCACACACATAGTAAATTCCTTATTTTCACTGGTTTACACATAGTAAACTCATAATATCTATCAATTTATACACAGCAAAACACCAATAACTTAAATTCTTTCAATAGTATATTTTCTAGAAATATTCAATTTTGCTATCATAGAATTTAATGATATTTTAATAAAGGCTTCGACATCCAATCATATTTTTAAACCGGCTACGTCACACCACCATGTGCTGTTTAATCATCTTCACATATATTAATATGTTTTCAACTAGTTTTTATGTTCCAAAACTAAAAGATTAATATTTTCTCATGTCATCAACAGTTGTATAAACTTGTTTCAATCAGTTTATCAGTTGTGTATACTTACATTATCAGTATTTATATTAGTATTTTTTCATGTCATCAACAGTTGTATAAACTGGTTTCAATCAGTTTATCAGTTGTATATACTTAAATTATCAGTATTTATATTAATATTTTCTCATATCATCAACAGTTGTATAAACTTGTTTCAATCAGTTTATCAGTTGTGTATACTTACATTATCAGTATTTATATTAATATTTTCTCACGTTATCAACAGTTGTATAAACTTGTTTCAATCAGTTTATCAGTTGTGTATACTTACATTATCAGTATTTATATTAATATTTTCTCACGTCATCAACAGTTGTATAAACTTGTTTCAATCAGTTTATCAGTTGTATATACTTACATTATCAGTATTTATATTAATATTTTCTCATGTCATCAACAGTGGTATAAACTTGTTTCAATCAGTTTATCAGTTGTGTATACTTACATTATCAGTATTTATATTAATATTTTGTCATGTCATCAACAGTGGTATAAACTTGTTTCAATCAGTTTATCAGTTGTGTATACTTACATTATCAGTATTTATATTAGTATTTTCTCACGTCATCAACAGTTGTATAAACTTGTTTCAATCAGTTTATCAGTTGTATATACTTACATTATCAGTATTTATATCAATATTTTCCTGCCCTCTTCTACTGATATAACCCAACCTCCTGATCATTTCTCGCCTCAGCCTTACCAATGCATTTTTGTTCTACCACTTTTATAGCCTTACCTTTGTCAATTCATCATCAAGTTTTCTTACTTACCCTTCATTTTCTCACAACATTATAACATTATTTTTTAATACATTGACGATATCAATCTTCAATGCATGTTCTTAAAAATGCATAACTCATGTATTAATCTGGGAAATTTAAGGCATAATAATTCGGTATTTAATTACTTTTTACTAAATACATATATTAAACAAACTTACCATAAACTATAAGTTGATATACAGTGACGTTTTCCATGTTTAAAATATATTTCGTTAGTTTCTCTGAGATTTGGATTCAATAACCATAATGTTAACTCTACATAGATACACTTACTGAAAAATTCTGTGCCGTTAGTCGAGACAAAAAAGAAGACAAGAATTAGAAATGTAAGCGTTCAATTGATATCTTTGATATTTGGATACTGTGAGAGTCGCCTACTGATGGTGAGAAAATAATAAAACGAATGGTCTTAGAAAAAGAATTATTTATGACAACTCATAGATATTGAAGGGATGAAATGATGTCAGGAGGATAGTGAAAGAGATTAATAATGACGAGATGAGTATAATAAAGGGAAAGGCACAATATGAGTTGAAGGTACACAATGGATGCGTTATGATGAGATGAGTATAATAAAAGGAAAGGCATAATATGAGATGAAGATACAGAATGGACGAGTTTTGACGAGACGGGAATATTAGAAGAGATTAATAAGGACGAGATGGGTATAATGAAAGGCATAATATGAGATGAAGATACAGAATGGATGAGTTTTGACGAGACGGGAATATTAGAAGAGATTAATAATGACGAGATGGGTATAATGAAAGGCACAGTATGAGATGAAGATACAGAATGGATGAGTTTTGACGAGACGGGAATATTAGAAGAGATTAATAATGACGAGATGGGTATAATGAAAGGCACAGTATGAGGTGAAGGTACAGAATGGATGACTTACGGTGATATAGGAATAGCAGAGGAGATGACAGATGACAATGTAGAAGCAACGTAACCGATGGTTTTGATTATGTGAAGGCAGTAGGCACCATAATTAAACGGTGGCGACATGTTACGATGGGTTTAAAGAAACAAGCATAACACAAGATAACGTAATAAAAAGAGAATAGGTTTTACACGGAACCTTCTAAAGTAAGGCTATCCTAATGCCCAATCTCTTGTGTGAATACGTTCTTCTGTTTTAATAAATAGAGTGAAACTGTCTTATCTTCTAATCTTCAATATGAACATATTCTTCTGTATAATAATCTACGCTGAAAGAGTCCTACTATAGATAGAGTAAAACTGTCTTATCTTCTAATCTTCAATATGAACATATTCTTCTGTATAATAATCTACGCTGAAAGAGTCCTACTATAAATATATTGAATCTGAGTTTTTGCATAATAACAACAGTCCTTTACATTTAGTGTCTTCTGAAGAGTAGCTTTGTGTAATAATATAAGATTTTATGTGACCATCATCGCTGGGAGGTAGCTGTGTAGTCTGATCTTCTTGCTCATCATCTTTGGGAGATGGTTGTGTAGTTTGATCTTGTTCATCATCCTGAGGTAGTTGCTGTGTAGTCTAACCTTCTTGCTCATCATTCTGGGGAGTTCGCTGTGTAGTTGGATCTTGTTCATCATCCTGAGGTAGTTGCTGTGTAGTCTGACCTTCTTGCTCATCATTCTGGGGAGTTCGCTGTGTAGTTGGATCTTGTTCATCATCCTGAGGTAGTTGCTGTGTAGTCTGATCTTCTTGCTCATCATTCTGGGGAGTTCGCTGTGTAGTTTGATCTTGTTCATCATCCTGAGGTAGTTGCTGTGTAGTCTGATCTTCTTGCTCATCATCCTGAGGAGATGGCTGGGTAGTTTGATATTGTTCATTATCCATGGTAGGTGGCTGTGTTGTCTGATCTTCTTGCTCATCATCCTGAGGAGATGGCTGTGTAGTTGGATCTTATTCATCACCCATGGTAGGTGGCTGTGTTGTCTGATCTTCTTGTTCATCGTTATTGCTCTCATCCTCTTTAAAAAATCATTTTTATTATTCTGTGTTTTTTGAATTTGGTTACTTGGAATTTGAAAAATTTTAGTAAACCTACATTCAGAAACATAAACATTCATAGAAATAGTTAGTAAAATCAGTAACTAATGGTGTCACTCGAATGAAGAAGAAAAGGTTATAGTAATCTGAATATAATGCAATGTCCGTCTTACAGTTCACTAAATATTTTATGTTATTTTTAGTTAACCTTTACATTAAAGCTCAGTCTGACTAATCGTCTTCACAGTTATTCTGTGAGACATCCACTAAATTCTATGCTTTATGTCTATCTGCAAAAACTATTGTTCTTTATAACCTTGTATGTCTGCTTTTACTGTGTTTTAAAGCTCACTTACCTGTCATATACTCCAAACCGTGCTTTATTTCCACCTATTTCTATTTCTATATGTTTCTATATGTTACGTGTAAAATGAAATTAACAAATATGAAACAAATATTCATGAATATACAGAGGTTGCGTACGTTAAATTAATATAATTTTGAAGCATCACCATGTTGCCATGCTCGATATCGTTACGGCCAGTGATGCTCTCTGTCTGACAGCCCTGCATCTGGACAATAGTCCTGCAGTGTAGTTTCCATTGGAAAATGTTGTCATAAGGATGTTATATGGAAACTACACTATTAATTCTTGGTTATTTTCCATAAGTATTTTAGTATATGAGGATGATGATTTTCTAGCGTCCGTTTCAATAATCAGATCGTACATAATTTTATAGTCGCTACATCTACGCAGTTGACTAGCCTATCTTTGTATGGAAAATATCTTGTATTCCGTTTCATTCTTGAGCTGCTTGAGACATGTGATGATTGAACAGATACGACATGGAGCAACTAATGTATATGCGATTTGTGTTGTTTTACCAGATGGAGATTCTTTTTGATTACGTTGCATATGGACAGTTTTTACCACTGACCTTTATGTTCGTGGAATATTAGCTGTTACAAGACACCCCATTTTATTTACCACGGCTGAGGTACGACTTGTTGCAGGTCTCTTTCTGAGTGGTAGTGGACCGAAGTTGATCCATACTCTTTTGGTTCCAAATGCCATTAAGTACAAGGGATATCCCCATCTTGAAAATTGTAAACCACAATTGGAGCAGATTTTTATAATTTGAGTTTAGGAATACGTTGTGTCAGAAAGGACTATTATATACCCTTAATCAAAGCAATTTTCTATGGTATTGAAGTAACCATAAAACGCCGAACAGTGTCAAAATGTAGTTCTGAGACACTCGCACTACCACGACTTTGTTATTGTCTGTGGTTGTCACGTGACTTGGTGCTAAACGCATTCAAGATCATTTAACCTTATGTATATTCAAATGTTATTGTTAGTAAGGTTCATTTTAACTTAGTAACATTACGTTTTCAATTATAATTGTTTCGTTTTACTCTAGAACATTCAGTTTACCTGGTTTATACTGGCAAGCGAAAGAACAGTCGTTGTTTTGGTGTTGCTTATAATCTTGGCTGCGGTCACGATAAACCACTTTGAAACTGCCTCTTTGGGAAGGTTCTCCGCTTGCCCAGTTTGTATACTCACCGAGAGGTGTATCATCCCCCCATTTGAGTTCTCCTCCACTTAGTCTTATATTAATCTAGACACAATTTGAGTTCCACGATGAGGATTCTTCTTTTTTTCCTCTATCATGCTATTTAAAAAAAATCTGCTTTGATGTCCTCTTTCAGCATTATGATCTCACCCCCTTTGTTATCACAGGTGCTTCGGGCACTATTCCAACCTTGCTCATCTTCGTGCAACATTCATCATCCAGACACCTTATGGCTATCAGCAAAAATAGAAATATTATATAAGTCATACGGTGCTCTAGTTTTTAAGTTAAAAGTACAAAGATATTATTAACATTTAGTTTAATAAAAAAATGCAGAACAGGGTTTAAAAAATGAATTCGTCACAATAGAGAGACTGTACTATTTCAAAATCTCCACGTTTAATAAAGCGTCAAAAGAGATAAGTTAACAAATATGTCTATAACGACAGAGATGCAACTTGATAATATGTTAACTTAATGGAAATATTAATGTAAACTCTTAAAATATCTTTACACAGCTTTGTCACTTTCTGTAGAGATCGTTTAAAACAATACTTCGATTTCACCAGTAAATAATAAAATCATTTAAAACAATACTTAAATTTCACCAGTAAAGAACAAAATCATTTCAAACAATACTTCGATTTCACTAGTAAAACATCATTTAAAACAATACTTCGATTTCACCATTAAAAAATCATTTAAAACAATACTTCGATTTCACCAGTAAAAAATCATTTAAAACAGTACTTCGTTTCACCTGTAAAAAATCATTTAAAACAATATTTCGATTTCACCAGTAAAGAATCGTTTAAAACAACACTTGGATTTCTCCAGTAAAGAATCGTTTTGTTACTTTGATTTTACCGGTAAAGTTAAGAAAATGAACAAGAACTTACAATCTTCGTCATCGCTTTCTGTCAAACACACTGTCACTGTATGCACACACGTCTGCAATCAAGCAATCCATATATTAGATCTGACTAACAACAAAGAAGAATGACATTAGAGTCAACATACTTGAAAGAAACTTTAAACGCACTACTTCATAATGAGAGAACCCAAACACTAAATCACTAGATAAGTACGTAAAGATTGAGGACATATGTTGTTTGTTTTTGAATTTTGCACAAAGTTACTCAAGGGCCTAATTTTGAAATGTTAGACTAGGATGAAGGCAAATGGTCAACACTAATCACTGCCAAATCAACGAATATTGAGATTGAGAGTAACATTATCCGCCCTGCTTTAAAGACGAGAAAATTTGGAGAGAAGATTCGAACCCACGACCCTCAGAGTATGAGTTGAGTACCCAAATCACCAGGCCACGACAGGCCGACAACACACCCGTTACCAGTGTAAGACCATAAAAACATGAAATTAAACCATTAAACATACTCTTCTTTAATTTCACTCAGAATTTCTTATTAATAAGAATGTAAATATTGAACAACAAGAAATAGCATACGTAATCACTAAACCCTAGCTAAAAATATAGTAACTAATACTTCATATGACAGACAACGGTGTAATATACCAAAGAAGATAAACTAGGAGTGAAAAAGAGACATTTTAACATTCATAGCCTACGAGTGACAGAGAAAAAGAAGTCTTTAAACATAATATGGAATTATCCGCAACAACGCTAAGTTTTATAAATAATAAACAAGATGTGTTTGTCTCGTGACACAATTTCCGTGCATAACGATTGATGTGGTGTGCAGCTCTCTCTTCGTACCCTCTGTCATGTCTCTTCAGAATGAAACAAAACCATCTAAAAAGTTTCGGACGCTGAGAAATCACCACCTGGTTGTCATTAAAGCCTAGTCAATTGTGGCTTAGAAAATACAGTTATCAAAGCTTTGGCTATTTTTGGACTCAAAAAGTGCGTATGTTCAAGCACGCATGGTTGATATAGGATCATCTACAATGTTCAAGAATGAATAATAAATCTATAGAAGACAGGATAATATATAATGTTCAAGGATGCATGATAAACCTATAGAAGATAAAATAATATATAATGTTTGAGAACGAATAATATACCTACAGAAGATAGGATAATATGTAATGTTCAGGAATGGATAATAAACCTATAGAAGATAATATATGAAGTTCAAGGAGAAATAGTAAACCTATAGAAGATAAGATAACATTTAAAGATGACGGATAAATAATAAATCTATAGACGATAAGATAACATATAAAGTTGAAGGATGCATGATAAACCTATAGAAGATAGGATAATATGTATAATGTTCAAGGATGCATGATAAACCTATAGAAGATAGGATAATATATGTAATGTTCAAGAATGCATGATAAACCTATAGAAGATAACATGATATATATAATGTTCAAGGATGCATGATAAACCTATAGAAAATAGGATAATGTATATAATGTTCAAGGATGCATGATAAATCTCAAATCCCACTATTCGCTCACACAATAGTATTCCAAAAGTTGGCAATAGATGTTGTTGGCTAGATACATGTCTTCCCGTAGGTGTTGTTGGCTAGCTACATGTCTTTCCATAGGTGTTGTTGGCTAGATACATGTCTTCCCGTAGGTGTTGTTGGCTAGCTACATGTCTTCCCATAGGTGTTGTTGGCTAGATACATGTCTTCCCATAGGTGTTGTTGGCTAGCTACATGTTTTCTCTCTAATAAATCAGTTAAAAATTAGAGTTGAATCTACGCAACTAATCCTTGTGTAACTTTGCGCAATTTCCGAAACAAATAAACAAATGATAGTAGAATTGTAATATATTGACGATCCATATAGATAACGGATTAGGTAGTGTGAGAGATTTTTTTCAATCACAGGTTTGTATCTATATTATTTATTTTCTGCGTCTTAGTCCCATAGTTTATATGTGTTTTAAGCATTCTGCTTCTAATGTGTTTCGGTGTCGGAGTATCCTCTGATATGTTTCAGTATCGGAGTATCCTCTGATGTGTTTCATTATTGGAATATCATTTAATGTTTCATCTACTTATATATCAGGACATATATGATATGTAAAAAACTAACATTCTTCACAACCTCCTGAACTAAAAACATGACACATATGTTTTAGTATGGAAGATTCAGGTGTTAAACATTTCGGGAAGACACTCGAGACTACAGATCAGAACGAACGACAACTATTTATACAACCTATACATAATGATATTTTATTCAATAGTGATCCAACATATCTTTTAATAAAATCAATTTACTATTGTTTATTGAAAAAGCTTTAAGCCAGATGCTTACCCACAGATGATAACCATAACAAATAAATATTATAATACTGAATACACTAACACAACCCCTCAGAAACAATGGATACGTCAACAAGAAAAAAACTGTTTAGGAACAACAATGGAAAGAAAATTCTGTTTTAACCTGATTAATAGCACTAAAATGTATTGGACATGTTTCTAAATAAACTAAGACTAACTTTAAAAATTCAGTTACTTATTTAAATCAACATATTGGTTCCCCCTTAATCAGGATATTTAGTGTGCAGCAGCACAAAAACAGTAATGACTTTAAGAACAAATTCAAACAAAACTATTTTTAAACATGTGCTACGTGTCTTCCTGATGGCTCTACGATAAGTCTGTATGAGGATAAAATTCGAGGTTCGATACCTTCTGTGTATGCAACGACTAAACCCGGAGTTGTATTCCTTGCAGTGGATACAGCAGATCGTTCAATGTGGCTTTGGTCTAAAACAAACAAAACAAATAAACAAAGGATACACGAAGATATTCCGTTGTGGAGCTTTGCGTTAGGAAAACGAGCATATGCTACGTGCCAGTGCGAAGCACGTATTTGAACAATAACAAGATCAACTCAACTTATACGAAGAATAGTGAATTATTCAAAATAACAATACAATAACAATATTACGGCATAAAAGTTTGGCAGAACATTAGATGACGCTAGTGAGGAAAAAGATCTTGACGCGTCTTCATATTGAATCATAGCAACTTGATTAGTTCAACTTTTTCATTACATTGGTAAAACCACTAATAATCAAGGGTGTAGTGCTGACAGAGCGCCGTTCGGCGCTGAAATTGGAGCTAAGTCCTAACACTTCAAAACTAAAAATATGAATAGAAACAATTGGTTATACAGTTTACACACGAAATTGTCTTTGATAACCAAACTTTCAAAATGTTGAGAACACCCTGAATGTTTATAATCCCATAAGTCTCACTGCTAGAACTCTCACAGACCACCAAGCATACACTTTGCCACTCTCTACCAGGACATGGCGTCAGGCACCATGCGATTGTTCCAGCTCAAGAGCGGCTGTCAAGGCTTTAAAATGATGAAACATTTTTTAGCCATACGTCATGGTAATAAAAAGCATAATATAATACATTTTACAATTATAATGAGAGTTGAAAACGTACACTTTTTTAGAAGGCCTATTATTATCATAACATACAACGAAAGTCGCTCTTTGTTAAGCTATTCGTGTTGGTAGTACAAGAGGTATGGAAAGCATTATAAAACTCAAAGTTGTTAGTACTGTCGTGCAATTAGAAATATAGTAAGTTAATAAGATATGCGTGTTTAATACTTGCTCTAATGTTAGTAATTTTTGAATTGAACCCAATGTATTTCATTGCTGATTAATTTAAAGAAGGTTGAGTTTCGCGTTCTATCGACGTAATATATGCATATTCAATTTAGTAATAATGTAAGTAATCTCAAATAATTAGTGCTGTATATATTTTCATTATTTAGAATGGACTCACTAAAATAGAAGCTAATATGAGATCTTTACCCTGATGGTGACGTCATATGCCTATCAAATTTTGCCATGGCTTCGGCACTATCAAATTTAGCATTACACCATTTCTAATGACTAACAAGAAAATTATAAATCAAATAAAAATTTCATGAAAACAATTAAAACACCAATACAAGAAACGTAGATACAGAATAACATGTTTAGAAAAACACAGCTTCCCTTTATAAGGAAATCCAAATAGTGTG